CTCCAACACCTTTAGCTATCCCCTTGCAGGGGGGAAGGGCCCCGGCCATTAGTTGCCAGGAGACAGAGTGTCGGCCATTTATGCACACTGGCCTTTATCCCCCCACCTAGAGACTTAAGAAATGCATAGGGAAAACTGGGGCACCCCTACAGTATTCAGAGGAAACATTAAGAACAGTCCCACTTCGTCACAGTGAGGGAGTTGGAGAGTCTGTGGGAAGCCCTCTCTCTTGTGAAATCAACCACCCCAAGGTGCGGGCCGCTCCAGATCGGGGGAAGGGCCCAGCTGTGAATTTGGAGCCAGATCCTAGTTTGGATCTGAATCCACCGGCGCTGCGGAGCGTTCAGCTGTAGGGAGCTAGCTCCCACCCGTGCCAGATCACAAAGTGCCACTTCAGCCAGCCGCCTGCCAGGCTCTGGCAGCGCCCTGTGTGGAGCTGCAGCTGGGCCCTCCAGAGCCAAGCTGCTGCTCCTCCTCTCTGCTGGCCAGCCAGCCGCAGCGCCTCAGCACCTGCCCGCTCAGCCCCACCTCAGTGCTCCTGCCTCCCCAATTTCCTCCCTGGCGCTGCACCTCGCCCCCTGCACCTGGCATGTCAATACCCAGCGGGGCCGGGAGCCAAGCGCCCCGGGAGCCAGTTCCAGGTGGCACCCCGGAAGGAACCCATCGCAATACTGATCTAACTTATTTCAATAACAATTAATTTATGCTAAATAGAGATAATCGTGATGTAAATAGAATTAAGAGAGTCTGCATTGTGATTTGAAGTAGTTTAATTAAATCAGTTTTAAATTAATTGAAAGTTAAACTGGTGCAATTTTGAATCTAGACAGAATCTTGGAATACCCTAGAAGTTGCTCTAACTTATGGTAGCTGGTTATCCCCATGAGCCAATACACCAACTGAGATGCTTAACCCATCCTCTCTTGCTCCTGACACACTCCATACACTGGCAGGGGGCAGTTGACGCAGGACCTGGCTATGCCAGCTTTATACAAGCTGAGAGTTGCCCCTGCCCACTGGGAATCCTCTAAGGCCAGGCTCCACTCATTTGAATCAAATTTCTCAAAGAAGTTGGGTTGCAAAGAGAAAATCTGGCTCTTTGTACCAGAGCAGGTTGAAAAATCTGATTTATTTTCTGCAAAAAAAATTCAAAGGAAATGAACATTGTTTCTTTTAACATTTTCACTGAATTTTTCAGGATTTCAGAAAAACACAAAAAACCCCAAACTGAAAGTATTTTGTCAAACAACAACAAAAATTAGGTTTTCAGGCTTTTGGGAGTTTCTCACCAAAACCTGAAAAACTTTGACAAAAATGGAAACTGTCTCATAAAAATGTCAATTTTTTTAAAAGCTGATGTGACGAAGTGGGGGGTTTTCTTGTTTTCTGTGGAGTTTTCAATGGTTTGCATGCGGAGGGGGTGGGACTCAGTTTCCCTGGGTGTTACTGAGGTGAGGAGAGAGGGAGTGTGTTTTGCACAGGACCGGAGAGAGGACTTAGGGATCCAGCCGATAGCCGGGAGGATGGACACCCCAGAGACCAGTGACCTGGCAACCCGGAGGCCCAGCCGGTTCTGGCCAGTGGGCGGACAATGGGCTGCAGAGTGAGGACCCAGTGACCTAACCAGCCGGTTCCAGCCAGAGGACAGAAGCGAGGAGAGGAGGCCCCGGTTTACGACCCTGTTTACCTGGAGAGAAGACAATGGACAGAGGCGGGGCCTGGGGCCGGTGATCTCAGATGCCCAGCTGGGAGAAGGAGGGCTCTGGGCTGGAGAGGGGGAGCAGGCAGAGCCCACCTGGAGGCAGAGAGACTGGGATGTGCTGGGCTGAGGGAGGCCAGGCCTGAGGCCCTGAGAGTTTCCTGTGCTGTGTTCAACTCTCAATAAATCCTCCTGTTTTATGCTGGCTGAGAGTCACTCCGGTCTAGAGAACAGGGTTGCATCAACCCCTTCGGGGGTGGAGGCCCCGGGGGTCCAGAGCGAGTGGACTCCCTGAGGGCGCCCACAGCAGAGACAGATGTGCTAAGGCTCAGATAGGTGCGGCTCCAGGAGGTGGAGGGGCCTGACCCCGAGAGAGAGTGGACCCCCGAGAAGGGCTGTCGCACTGAAAGGGGCACCCCCCACGGACCGCATGGGGCCAAGAGTGGGCACGATCTGTGAGTCCGTGACAGCCACTTTGTGGGAAAAATATGTTAATGACAAAATGTTTAACCATCTCTACTTTATATGCTCAGGACACAATGTGACACACCTGGGATCAGGGGGATCTGAACTGTTCGGCATGGAAAGGGCTGATGGAAATCACAGGAGGGATGTGTACATATAAGTGCAAAATTAAACATTCCCACTGTTGATTATTTATACAATTTGGACTTTGCTCTTGGCAGATATTTGAGTTTAACAGTAATTTTCAGTTTTGGGGTGAAATTCACCTTTATCTAGAGGTCTAGGCATCACTTAAACACACTTTAGTCTAATTTGCTACATGTTCTTATAACGCACAGATCACCATAGTAATTACACTCATAGGGTCTAACGTAGTCTGTGTTCTCTAGAGCTCTACGCTGGGTGCCAATCTGTACCCTTTGATATGATTTAAAGTGAATTTAGTAATGCTGTATTACACCACCGTGGGTTCGGCTCGGGTGGCTAGTTTCAAGCTCAACAGAGTGAAAGTCACCTCTGCTACTTGCTTCTGATTTAGAATCTCTAGGAACACAAAGACCAAGGATAATGACCACACAGACATTCACAAGTACAAGGTCTAGACTGTTTTCCAAGTTTTATTAAAGTTACAGTTAAAGTTATGATTACCTAAGCATATAGAAATTCTATACACACCTATGCACAAGTTACATATATAGCCATACACACATCCTTAATGATATTCTTAAGGTCTGATGGCTGCCTTGCCAACTGATCATCAGTAGAGGGATGGTTCCTCCTGGAGTTTCCCATAGGGAGCTCAATTTTCCTAATCTGGGCACCCTCTTTTTAAAGTGTGATTCTGATTATACATTATTAGGATTTACACACATAGTGAACCCTGTGGTTAGGGCATGTGTTAGAAAAATGTGACTAACACTATTACTGTTACTGTTAATTTTTTGGCATATCACCCATTAGTACATCTTTTCCTGTAATCTTGTGGCATAGGGTCATTCTTTGGTCACTTATTTATGTCAAGCATTTCTTAAACCTAGCATGGCTAAGCTAAAAGCGTTTCAGCCCTACTTACTTAGATACCTAATACAAAATTATCCCTCCTAACTGCTGATCAATCTTGTACTTTTATAATCCTACAACGTAACTCTATTGAACATACAATGATTATATATGACATAACATGTTAGTTAATCATAATATCACATAATAAATGAACAATAAACTAAAATCATTGGCTACAAGACTTAGAAGCTAGCTTGGAGACTGTAAAAAATGATATTAATATACAAGTATCACTTTTCACAGCAGCAGACTTACTAGCTAGCAAGTCTAAAAAAAAAAGCAACCAAAAAAGCAAAAGAAACAACAACAACAAAAAAGACAAGAACATGCAAACACCTTATTTGTGTTTCTATTCGGTTTAGGTCCAGTAAAGAATAGACACAACTGTCCATTATTTTTATTATTGAGTCTGCAAAAAAAAACAAAAAAACCCTATATAAATAAATTCCAATGATCTGGATGTGTATATGTGCATATTTATTTGTTTTTCCTAAAGTTAATTAAGTATTTTAGGAAAAATTATCAGAGCAACCACCAGCAAGAGTTGGTGGCTGCACTCTGAGGGCACCAAAAAATTTGTTCTGAGAACCACTGGACTAGCTGATCACAATGGCCCCTTTTGGGCTTGGAATCTATGACTTTCCAGGCTGGGCAGCTCCCTGTCTACACTGTGAATTCCCCAGGAAACTCAGATCGCCTAAGCAGGTCCGCTTTACTTTTTTCCTCAAAGCACAGTGTCAAAGGTTGGGTCCAGAGGTGCGAAGTTGCCTTCACCTTTTCCCAAATATTTCCTACGAATCCTACTTAAATTTGTTTGTCTAGGACATTGTTTCAAAGAGTCCTTTGAAGCTCATAACATTTCCTAGGGTAAACGTTTAGCCATGTTTCCTCCCTAGAGATGTTCTATACAATCCCACAATTTTACATACACATTTGCATTTTTAATATAATGAACTCCTAAGATACTGAATGTTAATTCAATAAGGTTTAACTTCATTCAATAAGGTTGGACCAGGATATTTAAGGAAATTGCCATATCTGTCACACTGACAGCCAAAGTCCTTTTTGAAAACACAATTACTGCAGAATTATAGAGATTTTTGCAAACAGAGATAAGAAAACAACTAAGATGCAACAGATGTGGGAACCACTGACAACCAGGAGAGCAAATTTTAATAAAACAAGATTTAAAACCATGGTCTCTCTCCTATATCAAAGTCACCCCGCGAAAGGCCTGAAACTGGAAACACTTAACACGAAGCATAGTGCTTATTACCATGAGTAGTTAGCTCCATTGTTCAGCAAGAGTTCGATCCTGCACAATAGACTGAAATCAATGGGCCTACCCCTATGTTTAAAGTTAAGGATGTGCTTAAGTGTTTTGCTGGATCAGGCCAGAATGCTAAGCATCTGGTAGGCTCACACCCCCATAGGCTCTGCAAAGTGATTGTTGGTCAAATAGATCTGTAACAGGGAAGTTAAATGTCAATTCTGGCCACCAGAGGGAGCTCATAATGTACAATACAGTAGAACCTCAGAGTTACAAACACCTTCCGAATGGAGGTTCTTCCTAACTCTAAAATGTTCATAACTCTGAACAAAACATTACGGCTGTTCTTTCAAAAGTTTACAACTGAACATCGACTTAATACAGCTTTGAAACTTTACTGTGCAGAAGAAAAATGCTGCTTTTAACCATCTTAATTTAAATGAAACAAGCACAGAAACAGTTTCCTTACCTTGTCAAATCTTTTTTTTTAAACTTTCCCTTTTTTTTAGTAGTTTACGTTTAACATGGTAATATATTTCAATTTTAAGTAATTTCTCTTGCTTCTTTTTTAGTGTTAGTTATCCATGAAATAAAAAAGCCAACATAAAGGCCCACCAATTTAAAAGTCCATTCAAATAGCACTAAAAAAATGCTGCAGCAAAACGTACCGACACTAGTCTTTATAATGACAATTAAAAAAAAAAAAGTTTCTAAACTTAACTTTCCTGCTTAACTTTACAGCATAAACTATGTAGACTTGAAAAAATCTTTAATGGTACTTTGCTTGAGGTTGCTAACAAGCTTTTTTGCTGCCAAGGTGCGTAGCTTGTGAAGCATCATTAGGTTAATCGGTGTGGCTTCAGGCTGTTGTTCAAGCCATTGAAGACAGGCAGTGAAGCACTCTTCTGCTTGCATGTGTGGGATCTTCTTGGCGTTCTCCCCCTCCTTGTCGCTGTCACTGTCCGGTTGTGCTGTTTCTCGTACCAATTCAATTATCTCATGGTCGCTAAGAATAGGGTGCCCGTTCTCATGTTTATCTGCGTTTAGCCATTCCTCCTGTTCCTCCGTGGTGATATCCAAAAGCTGTTGCTCTTCAGAAAAATCTAGTTGATTTATTTCCATCTGCTCATTGTTTTCCAAATTATCTGGTTCAGTGTTATCAATACACCGCCAAAGTGTATTCCATGAGCGTCTCAAAGACTCAGAGCTAATCTCACTCCAGGATTCGGCACACATGTAGACAGCATCTTTGATTGTCAGCTGTTTACAAAAATCTGTGTAAGATTCAAATTGCATTGATCCCAGTAATAATCGCTGTAAGAGGTTTCGCTTGTATCGACATTTCATGTTTTCCAGAATGCTTCGGTCCATTGGCTGAATGAGGCTGGTGACATTTCGTGGCAAAAACAAACAACGAATGCTTCCATCTTCTGTCAATAGATTTTCAATGGCAGGATGAGATGGAGCATTGTCCATCAGTAGCACAGCTCGGGTAGGTAACGATTTTGAGGTAAGGTAGTCTTTCACAAGCGGAACAAAGTGTTTAAAAAACCAGTCGGAGAAAATGCCTTTATCCATCCAAGCACAGCGCTGGCTGTAGTAATGGACAGGTAGAGCTGACATAGTGACGTTTGCAAAGCAGCAAGGTTTCGCCTTTTTATGAATGAACACCAATGGGAGACGGAAATCCCCGCTTGCATTAGCAGTAGCCATCAGCGTGACCCGATCTTTACTGGATTTGAAATTCTTCGCCTGTTTTTCTGAATTGTCTGCCAGAGTCTTGTTTGGAAGCAGGCGCCAATACAAGCCCGTCTCGTCGCAGTTAAACACTTGGTCCCGGGTAAGTTCGTGCTGTTCAATAAATGATTTGAAAATGTTTTTAAATACACCTGCAGCATTCCAGTCACTTGTTAGAAACTCTTCTTGCATCCTCAACTGCCGTATTCCATGCCGATTTTTGAACCGACAAAGCCACCCTGTGCTTGCTTTAAAATGGTTCTCACCTTTGTCTGGATACATTTCTCGGTAGAGTAACTTTGCCTTCTCGGTAACCATGACACCACTTATAGGAGTGCCTTTTGATCTCTCTTGTGCAAACCACAGATGCATTGCCTTATCAAAAGCATCATCAGCAGCTTTGCGTACAATACACCTGCTTTTTACTGTTCCGTTGTCTTTGGCTTCTTTTGCAAATTGCTTTATTTTTTCCTGGCTTTTCCGAATATCGGTGATGGTTGATTTCCCGATACCATATTCTACTGCTATGTTGCTGAGGCTAACACCACTGTCGAGTTTTTTTAATATTTCTAGTTTTGTGTCAATTGAAAGTGTGACACGTTTGCGCTTCCTACTGCTTGCCATTTTGCTTAGTCACACAGTATTTGCTTTCCCACCCCCCTCTGGTGCTGCCTGATTGCGTAATTCCGGTTCCAAATGAGGTGTGTGGACCAGTTGACAAGTTAGTTTGTAACTCTGGTGTTCGTGTCGGCGAGGTTCTATTGTATATGTAACAGAAACATACTGAAACTATTGAATAAAATGTAGTCACAGACTCCTAATGGAAAACTGAAAAATATTCTGTTTTGAAACAATTCAGCTCTGATCTAATATGTTCTGTTTTCTTTTTTTCCGTCTCTACTTGTTGTTGTTCATGAAAATAGGAACTTTGTTACTTAAAAATTAATCTGCTGCTCCTTCTTTCTCAGTTTGTAACCTTAAAAATATTTCCACTACAAACAGATGTGATGTATCAAAGGGAGTGTACTGAATTCGGAATAAGGTGCATGAGTGGGTTAATTTCTAAACAATGAAGTTCCTCCTTTCAATCAAAAGTTCCTACTGATCAAACAGAAGACAAAAAGAAAGAACATGTTATATTAAGTTATTACAATTCATTATTGAGTAATTAAAAACTGGATCATGATGCACACTTATGAGGAGGCAGAGGAAAGTTTGTATGTGCGCCTTTAGGCACTGATCCTGCAAACAGTTATACACATGCTTATCTTTAAGCATGTGAATATATCCATTGGTTTCAATGGGACCACTCATGTAAAGTTAGGCAAGCATTTGCAGTTCGGCATCAACACTTCCGGCCTTTTGAATGCTTTAGGCCCTAATCCCACAAATTTCAGTGGGCCCAGTAATGTGCTTAAAGTGCCGTCTGTGTGTATGTCTTTGCAGTCTCAAGGCCTAACTGTGCAGCCTTAACAGATGTTCTTTTTTACATACATTTTAAAATCTATTTCTTTGAATCGCACTTAGAAAATCCACAATTGGGGACTGTTTCGGCAAGACACCCCCAGGAGGCAAAATACGATGCCATGGTGTAACAGACGCCTAGGGCTGCTAACGTTGTAGTGCAAAAATATGGGGCAGTTTTCTTAGCACCCCTGCCCTACCCCTCCTCCAGAAATGATCACTGTCATCACCATTAGTAGCAATAATACGCAGTACTCACCTGCATTTACAGGGTATTTCTTGCTGCTTTTTGCAGCACTCAGCAACTCCTGATCTTGCTGTACAGAGATGCAGAAACAAGGGACAACCCTTGGCATGAGGGGCTGTTAGCCAGCCTAAAGCCCCATGTTTGGAACAGCCTCAGCTTTGCATGCCTGGGACCTGGCTTTCCCCACGCCCAACGCTGGGGAAAGTGATTGACTGTATATCCCCTGCTGGGATGTGGGTCATGAATTACTGCGGGGGGGAACTGGATTCAACAGGAGCTGCAGAGGAAGACGGAAGTGATGCGTCTGCCCAGCCCGCAAGAAGGGGAAAGTGCTTCCAGTTCCGGAGGCTGCAGTCTCGCTGCTCTTTCCGCTTGGAATTCTGGGAGTTGTAGTCCGAAGGGGGCTGTGCGCGACCGGGCGGAAACGACAGGCGCGGCTCCTGGGCGCGGAGGAGTCTGGGAGTTGTAGTCCACGCAGGGCCGGCGTCGGAGGGCCTGGGGGAACTACGTGTCCCATGGTGCTTCCGGGCGGCGGCGCCTGCGCGGTGCGGCCGAGGAGTAGTAAACATGGCGCCGGGGGCGCTGCGCTCTCCTCCGGGGTGAAGCTCGCTGCGGTCCCTGCTCCTCAGTGCGGCGGCGATGTCGGAGCCGGGGCACCTGGGGGTGAAGCGGGCCGAGTCGGCGCGGCTGCGGCGGGCCGAGCAGCTGCGGCGCTGGAAGGGTTCGCTGACCGAGCTGGAGCCGGTGGGCGCCCGGGGCCAGCACCGCGGCGGGGGGGCCCCCCGCGTCCGCTTCGAAGAGGGCGCCGTGTTCCTGGCCGCCTGCTCCAGCGGGGACGCCGAGGAGGTGAAGCGCCTGCTGGCCCGCGGCGCCCGCATCAACACGGCCAACGTGGACGGGCTGACAGCGCTGCACCAGGTACCGGGACCGGACCCCCTCCCCGCGCCCTGTCCTGACACCCCCCGGTTCCGGACAGCGGTCCGGACTGCCCCCAGGGACAGGATCCCCTCCCCGCGCCCGGTCCTGACACCCCCCGGGTCTGGACACCGGTCCGGACTGCCCCCTGGGACCGGATCCCCTCCCCGCGCCCTGTCCTGACACCCCCTCGGCCCGGACACCAGTCCGGACTGCCCCCAGGGACAGGACCCCCTCCCCGCGCCCGGTCCTGACACCCCCTCGGCCCGGACACCGGTCCGAACTGTTCCCCGCGCCCGGTCCTGACACCCCCTGGCCCGGACACCGGTCTGGACTGCCCCCTGGGACCGGACCCCCTCCCCGTGCCCGATCCGGACTGCCCCCTGGGACTGGACCCCCGTGCCCGGTTCTGACACCCCCCCGGCCCGGACTGCCCCCTGAGACTGGACCCCCCCGCCCAATCCCCATGAAACTGACATCCTGGCAATGGACCCCCATCTCCCCGGGAGAACCTCTCTCCGAGACCCCCATGGGACTGACACTAGCGAGACCTTCTCTCCTGGGCTGTCACTCCCCCGGGGCTGGGACCCCTCGGATCTCTCCCAGGACTGGCACCTCCAGGGGGCCTTCCCTCTGCACCCTCACCTCCTGAATGATTCTCCCTCTGTGATTGGGACCCCCAGGGGACTTTCTCTCCCAGACTGCTCTGAACTTACCCCCATGGGGCCACCCCACACTGATCTCCCCACCCATCCCCAGGGCTGTCATCTCCTTCCCCGGTAGGTGGTCTGTTCCACTCCCCAGGGGCCAGGACTTCTTGGGCTTGATGCCCACTTTCGTGTGGCTGACTCCTGGGGGACAGGCTGGTTATGCCCTGGGCATTACCAGGTGATGGTGTCTGAGAGGTAACTTCCCCGACAAGGGCAGGGTAATTGCTACCTCTCAATCTCACAGACAGGTACTTGGCTCTTCACAGCCCTATGTCAAGTACCAGCTGTGGAGGTGGGAGGTAGTAAGGGTCAAGGGGTGCTGTCCCATCACCTTCCTGGCTGGGGTGGTGGACACCTTCACCAGGTAATATTCCTGGTAGCTCTTCTCCAGGTAATTGTATCTAAGGACCCCTCATCCCCTGAAACAAAATCTGCCCCATCAACTTCCCGTGTTAAGTAATCTTTGCTGCGCTGCACAATGTAATAACCTTCCTCCAGGCTATTGCCCAGACTAAGATAATCCTCTCCTCTTCCCCCCACCTGGCACCTTACAGTCCCACTCTGGAATAACTACTGATCACTGCCCAGCGCTATGTACAAAGAATCCTCCTCGCTCATCAAATTTCATTCTTCCCCCAATGTAATCTCCTTGCAGCAGGTTACACCCCTACCATGCCACTATTCACTCTCCATGCCTTAGGCTACATTGCCTTCCCTCCCCCAATAACAGCCACATGGGTTTTCTTTCCACCAGTAACAAATAATACTCCCTCCCCAAGAACCCAGGAGGAGAAGAACATAAGACTGTAGAGACTTGGCTCAGTGCACTGTCTTTTCCTCTTGGGTGGGGGTGGGAGGGGGAGGGAATCACTGAGGAGAAAGAAAACAAAGCTTTCAAATATCTTGTCAGTTTCTTGCAGGAGAGGGCAAGATCAGATTGGCCATTGTTTGGGGCAATGCCTATATCTGGGTCTTAAGATGTTGAGGAACAAAGTGAAATAAACAAGGCTTTGGTGTGAGAGAGGTCCATTTTACATATCTGTCCCTGTCAGTACCTACAGAAGGGACCCTATAGCATCTAGTGCAATAACATACGATCTGCTCTGGCTATTTTAAAAATCAGGCAGTTTGATTATTGTAAAATCTCACAAGGAAATAGAGCAGCTAAATGAGCCAAATAGAGTGCTGGGCTGGCTGTCCAATCTTACAGCAGAGAGAGAAATTGACAACTCTGATTTCTTGAAACTTTATATGTAGAAACTGTTTCAGCTCTAGGACTGTGTTTTTCATGTCTAGAAATAACTACTGTACTTGGAAAACTTGGGGGTTGCCATTTTTGCAAGGTCAGAATGGGCTCTTGTCTGCCTCCTCGTATCTACCATGTGGGAGTTGCCCTGATACTTTTGACTTCCAAATTTTTTTTTCTTGGCAACCTTTGCAGAGAACACAAGGTGCCAAAGTCTCAGATAAGCAACATGGATTCTATTAATATAAATCCAAATGTACTGCAAACTACGCAAAAGTAACCTTAGAGGCTAGCCTTAAAATGTCAAAATCTTGGAAATTCAGCATCAAGCCCAATTCATCCCTTAGCTTACGTTGTGCCTATGTAATGCAACGTGTTACATGATATAGTGTATTAATGTCAGATCTGTGGTACCCTGGTACAACAGTGAGGCAGCTATATGTTTAAAATGACTGGCAAGGAGCTTAGCAGAGCATCTGAAATTACAGCTGGTTGCTTTTGTCAGTGAAGTCAGGTTTATTTTAAATTGTATTTAAAAGTTCTTGTTTCTTGCACTGGCTGAGACCTTGTAGACTAACTATCACTGCGTTAGATTTTTGTGGTCAAGTGATAAGACCTTGAAATTATGGTTTTATAAAGAATATGCTGACTATGGTGGCACAAAAAAGCAACAGTAGTTGAGTCGTGTAGTAGCTCCTGTCTTGGTTTGGTTAGTATTGTGAACTGAAATACTTGGGACACCTAGCAACTCTGTTCAAGGAATGTGACCGTTTCTGATCTGGATGTAGGCTGTGGTCTGCGTTCATATTTCCTCATGACCAAAGGTGACGTGCTTTGACATATCCTTATTAGCCCATCTCCTCGTCTGGGCCAGTTTGATTGCTTGAGTGTACAGGTATTAAAGGCATTTTTTAGCTATGGTATTGTGGAAAACACCAATTGACAATGTAGTGAAAATCCATAATTCACATTTTTCTGATATAGTTTTTTTAATAAGTTGTACCTCATAAGCTATATAACATTTGTACTTCTACTTTAATTATCTTGGTGGTAATAATGGATAATCCCATGGACTCTAGCAACAACCGTTATGTAAGTAGTTATTGAAGAGTTTAGGGTGTAAAAAGTATTTGATAGAGGAAAATTGAATTAGTGGTGGATGTAGCATGGTAGAGTTGGAAGGAGAGGTTCTCTCGGAGTCCAAGATGGAATTGTTGCCACAGTTCGAGGAAATTATTATATCACCTTGCTGACGCTTGCAATACAGACCTCCAAAAAAAGCTTGTAATTAAGCATATCGCTACTTGTGGTTTGAGCATTGGTCTGCTAAACCCAGGGTTGTGAGTTTAATTCTTGAGGGGGCCATTTAGGGATCTGGGGCAAAGATCTGTCTGGGGATTGGTCCTGCTTTGAGCAGGGGGTTACCTCCTGAGGTCCCTTCCAACCCTGATATTCTATGTGTTGTCCGAGTTTTCAGACATTGATGATAAATTCTTTCTGCCATGAGATCAGATTTATTGAATGAGGGACCAGCGATCAGCAGACAGCACCCAAACTTCAATTTGTATATGGAAAGGATTCTATCTTAGTGACTAACAAAGTGTTGGATAACACAGTGAAGAATAACATTTAGAGCTTGATATTGTAAACTGTTAACTCATCCATAAGAATAGTTCTTAGATATGTGAGTAGTCAAAGTGAAGCAAATGAGACAACACAAGTGTGAGGCTTAATTGTATGAGTAAAGATTTGCAGGAAGGGAGGTGATATTTTGATTGCTAATAAACTTTGCACTAGTTTCCCCCTCCCACGTTAGAGTGTTGCCGTTTTTCACTGTGATGCCAGACTAAACATTCTTGTATATATTATAAATTCATGGAACGCTGTTTATATATGATAAAGTTGATGCTGACTGATGTAAACCATGTTGCACCTGACAGATTTATATCAAATGATAATGCATGTGTAACCTTAAATATATCTGAAAATCTGAGTGATGGTGTTTTGGTATTGAGTGTATGGGTCACAGGATGTTTTCTTTCCTATTTGGAAGATGACACTCTGGATAGTGTAAAGCCATCCCTCAAAGCCAAAGTAAGTTGAAGGGCCTGACAAACAGCTAGTGTGTTGACAAAAGCTGCAACAAATAGAGTATAATACAGTCTGAATATTTCTGTAATACGGTTATTTTTATTGGCATTAAAAACATATTTTGGAGAGAGATTTAGGGCAGACGGTATAGGGTGAATGATGTGCGCATACACTTGTAAAACCAAATGGCTACGTAAAGAGGACAGGGATTCTGTTAATTGGAACAAGTCTGCTTTGTTGCTGGGGTAGTTGGTAGGAAATGTTTTCTTTTCCATTAAAGCAAGTACGTTTAGGCAAACGAGGTGCTTGTGTTCAAGGAGTTAAAATGAGACTTTCAGTACAAGCAGAGGTTTGTCTAGCTCAGCAGTTCTCAAACTTTAGCAACCTGAAGACCCCCCATTTTGTTTTAAAAATTTTTGCGGCGCTCCAAGCCGGCTTCTAATTTTCCCCTGGGGTGCTCAGCCCCTGTTCGGCCCCAGGCCCCACCCTGTCTCCACCCCTTGCCCCAAGGCCCCACCTTGTCCTGCCCCTGCTCAACCCCTGCCCCTCCTCTTCCCAGCCTCTTTCCTCCCACCGAGCATGCCCCATGCCCTCTCCTCCCCCTCCCTCCCAGTGTCTCCTGCACACTGCTGAACAACTGTTCTGCGGTGTGCAGGAGGGAGGGGGAGGAGTTGCAATGGGGTCAGTGGCCTTGGACATGACTCACTGACCCCCAGGGGTTTGTGGACTCCAGTTTGAGAACCGCTGGTAGCTCATTGGTTTACGCAAGTTAAGAATGTGAGTTTCAACTTTCTGCCATTTCATTCTTGCCTGATTTTACATCTTCATATATAAATGTCACAGGCCACACAAAATAATATTAGTTTAGTTTCACTGGAAGCACTCAGTGGCTTCACACACTTTATTGCTTTCATACAGGGTAAATTTGAAGCATCTTGCACTTTTCCATTTGGATA